ACACACGTCAACAACATCCCGAAGAAAAAAGACTGGGCCAAGCGGGAAAGAATTCTAGGAATTTTAAGAATTCTTACTTCAAATAACGAAACATAATTTTTACAGAATTAACGACGAATTAAATAAGAAAGCTACCGTGGTGTGTGGAAAACCTTTAGTGAACCGACACTCTCGGCAATTTTAACTATTGTAATTATTTTAATTAACTGGAACGTGGCTATTTTTAACAAAGTGAAGTTTTGTGTGTTGGTGATTTCTTTTTCTACTATAAATGCCTCTGATGATGGCTCCGTGGTGAGCCGAAACATGTAAGGCAGGTGGTGACGAGGTGGAAAACTTAAAAAAGTGTCACATTTGACGGAAGGAACTTGATTGTTAATATATACATATATTTACAATACAAAAATTAGTACGTTAATAATTGAGAAAACACAACTATAAAGTATTAATAATTAAACTAATAAAAGTATAATATGAACACCCGTATTTTTTAGATCAGTAGTCGAGGAAAAACTAACAACACCAAAATTAAGAGGTGGAGTGTCCTGACAACGCAACGTTCACTTTTGGTGATTTATATGCCTACTTAGTCGTATAACAAAATAAGTTTTGTGATAAATTACTTGCATTTTTATGTTGATTCCATGAAAGAATGTAGTTGTACATATTTACACGGGTACAACTTGTTTATGTTCGAAGCTGTGCCATTTGAAAGGTAAAGATATAAATTAATTCGCTGTTTTGATGGAGAAGTGAGTAAAGGAGATAAAGTTATGAAGGTTATAAAGGAAAGGAAAAAATGACGGAAAGAAGGAAGGCAAGAAAGGAATTATTTACCGCTGGATTACATCAGATCATTTCCATTAGTAACAAAGGATAAGAGTCAAATTATTGATTTCTTCCGTCAGAACCAAATTCTGCGCAACGAACGAGAGAATCTGGGGTTCTGATATGCTGAACGGCTCCTGGAATGGGCTGATCGGAATGCTAACAAGACACGAAGTAAACGTAGCCACGGCAAATATCATTGTTACTCCAGAACGGGTTGCCGTAGTGGACTTCCTCGCACCTCTGTTAAATATCAGGTGAGATGTGTGGAAGTATTTTGATCTTCTGCTGTTTGCCATTCCTGGTGTATTGTCCCTGTGCATAGAAATCATTCCTGAACCAGCCTGCAAATGGAACCCCGACGGTTCAGTAACTATCTCGACTCTCATGTATATGTTCGCGACATGTGCTTAGACATAATTTTGTTGCATGTATGAATATATCATGTGATGTTCTTATTTTATCGCAAGTTTGAATGGAATATGTTGTTTTTACTTCTATTCACAGGGTCTATATTTTGTGATTACATTGTCCTGTTGCACGTATGAATAAGTTCTGTAATAATATTGATTTCTTTGGCGTGTTGATATGTTATGATTCTTTTTGTTTCAGACATAAATGCATTAATATTTAAACTGCTTTTTGTTTGTATGAATTCAATTTGTGAATGTACTATTTTGTTACATACTTAAAATTAGTTTGGCACACTTCGACCTAGTTAATCCTTCTCAATCCCCTGACGAGATATCACGCTAAAGATCACTGATCTTCCTTACCTCTAAGAACTGGCATTTGTAAAGCTAAGCGAAAGAAAAGTATCCAAAGAAATATTATCAAATAAGATATTATGTCGTTTTGTACCAGAGACAATGCAGATATATCGTAAGTTTCAATCCTCATGGAACAATTGTAACAACGTGTGCATTAGAAGTGTAAAATTTTCCATTTGTTTGATGTTTCATTAGTAACGTAACAGGTAGTGCTGAATTTTTCTGCGGAGGATCGCAGTCATCAATAAGGCTGATGTTATGCCTGTAATTTCAATCAGCTTCAACTTCAATACATTTATGAGCTATAAATAAGCTGATCATGTGTATTAAAGTATTATTAGTAGTCCATTGATTGAGATTAGCTCTTTCTAAGTGGCCCAACTGAATAGGTGTCCTTTCCCTTCCTTCACCTGAGGACGGAAACAGATCTAGCGTTCGAAACGTCTTGTTTTCTATTCTCTAGAATATCGGACGATATAAAAAGTCCAAGAACCCAGTAATTCTGTGTGTTAAAAGTGAACTATTTTAAATATATAAATAAATTATTAAAATTACTGATAGTGCAGTCGGTATAGCGATTGGCTACGAGATGGACGGCAAGGTGATCGGAGTTCGAGTCCCGGTTAGGGCAATATTTTATCCTCTTTACGTCATCCAGACCGAATATGGGACCCACTCAGCCACCAATCAAATGGGTGCTCTTTCCGGTAGAGCAAAGCGGCCGGGGCGTGAAGTTGATGAGTCACTTCCAACTAGTGTGGAGTTCAAAAATACGTGGATCCATGTATCCACTCCTCCCTACGTCTCTATGGTATAGTCCTTAGTACAGGGGAACATTTACTATTTTTACACAAAAGCAGAAGGGCGTCTGTGAAAGGAAGAGGCTGGAATATTAGAATAGCAAAGAAAGGGCGGGGGGAGACAACGGAACATTTTCCAGCACCAAAGAGCTGCAATATCTTTGCTATAATCGTTGCAATAACTGTTCTGATATTTTCCAGGACGACGGTTCATATACGGAAACCGGAACCAGTTTCGAACTTCAGCAACTTAATGAGAGCCTTCGACATTGCACTTTGGAGCGCTCTGGTGGTGACTGTGGCAGTGTTGTCAACATGTCTTTCGGCGGTCTGGTATTATTTAAGAAGTCACTTAAAAATGAGTCTCCGTGATATTGTTAATGAATCATTTTTCCATATATTTGGAAGCTTCGTATATCAAGGTAAAAAATATTTTGTAATAAAATAAACATGAATCATCTTTATATCAGCGCACTAAAATTTCTAGTAAAATATTCTAAGAATAAAAGGATGGAACAGTAATAGAGCAGTTATTTATTTTGCTTAATTTTTTTTCCCTGGCACTACAGCCCCAGTGGGCCTAGGCCTACCTCCATGAACTTCTCAGTTCACTTCGGTTTTTCTCGATCTTACACATTCGGTAGGACTCCTTGGGCGGTGATCAGCTCGTCGCAAGGCCTCTACCTGTAAACAAACACAGAAAAACGCACATACACAAACTAAACATCCATGCCCTGAGTGGGATTCGAACCCACGATCCCGGTTTCCAAGCGAGCGAAGTCAGTACATGCCTTAGACCGCTCGGCTACCGTGACCGGCATTTTGCTTAATTATAAAGCATTATGTTGGAAGTGAAAAAAGATACTAATATGAACTTGGACAAAATTAAATAAATGGAACATGTTAAATCAAGCAAGGTACACACAACGCCAATACAAATAGAACGCACCTACATTTTGAGATAACAGTACATTACGGGTCATATCCAAAACGTTAACATACGTACAAATCAACATACTGAAACAGCCCCCAGGTTCATAACAAATCAACACAACACAGCTCTAGTCGAATAATGTCCACATCATGAGAGGCTAAAAACAGCGTAGATTCAAACTATCATACATCGGAACCTTCAGCTCAATATGATAAATTAAATTACGTATTATATCTATAATTTTATAACATTATTTTAACATTTTTAGTTATTTTATTCCAGTAATATTTAATTCTTTATTAGTATTATAAAATCCAGTATTCGTAATATAAAACGCCCTTTAATTACTTTTACTATATGTTAAATACAAATTCTTGTATGCTCTAATATTTCTAACATTTTTCTACCTTATAATTTTCATCATAACACAAAACACAATTTTCTACAGCTTTTACGATTTTTATAATACAGACGCATTGCACCACAATGTTGATCCATATTGAGATTTCAATTAACTTTATCGTATATATTATATATATATAGTGCCTGATAATGGTCCCATGAGGGCCGTAACTTGTAGCGGTAAACAATAAAATTCAATCTATGAGATATTGATTTTCCGATACCATTTTCTTTGTTGTGTATAAAAAATATTGACACGTAGAGCCAATTCATAAAAATACATAAATTAACATCAAGAGCAATAAGCTGCTTATTTACCGTAGTAATTTCTGGATTTTAAACTGAGAGGAAGGCCAGAAAATTGAGGTAGAGCAAAAGTTTTTTTTTTTAGACATTAGACCCAGCCGATTAATGCTAATTGAGAAAATAATCACTCTTCCTTCTGGGACTCTCACGAAACGTGTACAAATCTTGTGAATAAATTCGAGCGTAAAGCGTAGTGAACCACTGTGTTCTGAAGAGTTAAACTGGCAAAAAATAACAGATATGTTCTCCACCGTAGGTTCGAAGATAAACGCAAAGTCATCGGCGATACGTACAGTATCTGTGACGTCATACCTAACAGCGACGATACTAATGGCGGCTTATTCAGCAGTATTCATATCTTACCTCACAGTTCAGGACCTGAAGCTTCCAGTCGCAACATTCCAGGACCTCCTAAAGGATGGGCGCTACCGTTTACTTTCAGTTACCGGAACGGCCCAGCTCAACTACTTTGATGTTAGTGTCCATTCATTTGTCTTTTCGCACAATTACAGACTCAGAGGGGCCAAGCGCCTCCACGAGACATAGTCCTTCATCTGAAGTTAATATCCCTTAAACAGTGAAGAAAATCCCCACCTTTCATTATATTTAGTACCATGTTTATAAAAACATGTAAGTGGATCCTGAACTGTATCATTTGAACCCAATTCACATCCACATACTTATTAATTTATTGCCCATATCACTCGTATTCTTCCCATAGTTAAGACTAAGTCTCCAGAGTGGGGTTTCCCCTTATTTTTTGACTAAAATTCTTATGCATTTCTCACTTCTCCTTACGATCCTATTAGAAGTTCCTAGGAAATAACCAACACATATACAAGGGTAGATTTCTGTGTTGGTTATGTTGAAGAAACTTCAGTTTGTAGTACTGAATGTGTTCTTCCATTTCTTTGTACCCTGTAGTGCTCGTGTAAGTGAATTAGTATTATGTTGAGTGACAGTACCTGTGAAAGAACCGGAAAATCGAAGATTTTGAAAGAGGACAGATCGTTGGTGCACATTTAGCTGCAGCATCTGTGACAAAAACTGCCACATTATTGGGTTATCGAAAGGCACAGTTCCTATGGTTATGTCGTCATACACGACATCAGTGAAGAGAAACAATTGACATTGACAGAATGAGATCGTCGTACACTAAGAAGGGTGGTTTCGAACAAATCACAGAACTACTGCAGTACATGTGACAGGACAGCAGAACTGAATATTCTTCTTGAAGACCGTGTTTCCACAAAAACTGGCCAAATTGAGCTTCACAATTCCAACATCCACATCGGGGGCTGCAACTGCTAAACCTCTGATTACTGAAAGTAATGCTTAGATGCGTAAACGGTGGTGTTACAGCCATAAATCCTGGACGTCAGACAACTGGAAACATGCATGTGATATGGTCAGATGAGTCATTCTTCACACTGTTTCGTACATCAAGAAGAGTATATGTCTGGAGAACGCCCAAGGAAGTCTACAGTGATTTTTGTTCGAGAGTGAAACACGGGGAGGTTCTGAGGTGGTTTGGGCAGCATTACCGTGGTACAGTATTCTCTTGGTCTTAGTATTGACCTTCATGACCGAATTACTGCAAGGAAATATGTGGACAGGTTGGGTAATCAGGTACATCCCATGACCCAGATGTTATTTAAAACAATGAAGAAGTTTTCCAAGATAACCATGCCCCCATACACACAGCTGGAACTGCTCAGTCATGGTTTGAAGAACATGAAGGTGAACTTCAACATCTTCCCTGGTCAGCACAATCACCAGATTTAAACATCGTTTGGCAACGCTGGTAAGTTTTGGAGACTTCAATGAGGAATAGATTCCCACCTCCAAAATATATAAAAAAATTACAAGATGTTTTACTAGCAGAATAGTATACAATTCTGCTAAAGACTCTTCAGAATATGTTTAAGTCAATTCCTCGAAGGACTGCAGCTATACTGTAGGCAAAATTTGGTCCAACACCCTATTAATTAAGAAAGGTGTACAGGATATGTAGTGTTTCTGTTACTCTGTCAAACGTCTGTATTTACGAGTAGGTGTCAGTGTAGATAGACTCGGAGGTACCACATCCGAGACAGTAGTTCAATTATAAATTTCGACAGTGAGTCTTATGATTATTTATCATAGTCACTTGTCATACGGACTCTCGTCACAATGTATTAGTCGTTTTCCAATTTCTGTATAAATGTATAAAACTGCACTCACTCTCATTTGATTCATTCACCACATCTTACACGTGTGTTACAGTTCAAATATTTGCGAGGGTACCAGATATCAGAAGCCTGTTAAGTTATTACAAATTACATTTCCTATAATTCAATTTGACAAGTAAACAAACGTATGTAGGTTTTGCTCAGCCTGCTAGAGTGGGTAATTGCCTGACGAAGTTGGGCCGCGCCATAGCTCAAGGTGTTAGTTTCTGGCTTCCCATCGCGGCGGCCCGGCTTCGGTCCCGGTCTGGTTAAGTGGGATTTGTGGTGGACAAAGTGGCGCTGAGGCAGGTTTTCTCCTAGTACTTCGGTTTCCCCTGCCAATCTTCATTCCACCAATTGCTCCATAATCACCCTCACCTATCATCTGGGACTGGTACAATAGGCCAGAAGTGGCCGCAGTACAAGGGACTTAGTCCCACCACACTAGCAATAAAAGAAACCTGACGAAGTTGAAGAGGAATCTATTGTACCCATCTTCGAGGTAAAATATAGAGGCAGTAAATTCCTTCAAAACATCGGCAACTCCTTAAATTGCCACATATTACCATACCCCTGTAGACTATAGTCAACATCTTCGTCACGTAATAACCCCATGTCTGAAATAGAACATAATTTTAATTTAAACTTATAGCACTAGATAACAGAAATACTTTAATTTCAGCAATCTTCGAATCCATTGATAAAAGAAGTATATAAGAAGCTTATGGAACCAATAAAGGAGCACATGTCCCGGTCTACGCTCGAGGGCCTTCAGAGGGTCTGCGCAGAGGAGCATATGGCTTTCGCTGTATTAGAGACAGGAGTGGACTCACGCAGAGGAGAGTTGCCTTGCAAGATAATGCGCTTACCAACCACAGCGATTCCCGCCACTATGGCCATGCCGATTACAAAGGGTAATCCCTACAAGAGAATTCTCAGCCGCTAGTAAGTACAACGTGAATAATGAGAATTCGCAATGTCATGTAGTAAAGAGAGAAATACTTAATACTCTCTAGACTGTCAATCCATCATTATATACATTCAAGAAAGCACATGTTTAGAGAGTATTTTAACACCGCCTCTGTGATCTAGTGGTCAGAGTTCCTGGCCACAGATCCAGAGGTCTGGGTTTGATTCCAGTCGCTACCAGATTTTCTGAGAATTAATGGGTCTAGAACGGGGTCCACTCAGCCTCATGAGGATAACTGAGGAGGTATTTCAAGGAAATAGCGTCTCCGGTCTATAAAACCGAAATTAACTGCCGTGGGGATTCGTTACGCTGACCACGCAACACCTTCTATCCGCTTAAGTTGGCACTAACTTCGTCGACAAGGGGCGCTCGCTCGGTCGGTATAGTTCGCTCGCGGACTAAAACCACGGAGTCTGTTTCCTTTTTCAAATGTAGGTATAGGATGATAATGTGACAATCAGCCTGGTTTGGAATTCTTTGTAATTAGCCTGTAACTGTTTTTTTTTTAAAGTAATGTGTCCTTTTCGTTGACAGAGGTCCAAATGGGCCTTTTCTTTAGGCTGCTGTTCATGGAGTGTTGTAGTGTATTTGACACGATTCAAAATATGCAAACCAGGCTAAATCGGACAATAGCAAAGGAATATGAAACATATTTCGAAGTATAATTAAAAATATTAGTTAAGTGTGTGTCTTCATGTCACGGTAGTTGCTAGACCGAAATAACATAACGAGATTGCCCAAAACGTAAGTCACTATCCGTTAACATTTTATTTCAGTTTCACAGAGCTCCGTCGAAGTGGCATTCTGACCAGGATTTCCAGCAAAACCATTCCCAAGACAATGGATACCGTCGAAGATATGTTTAGTGAAATAGGCTTCACGTCTCTGGTTCCACTATTTACAGCACTAGCGGTGGGTTTCATGGCAGCCATTGTGATCTTAATATGTGAAATTATATTAAAGTTCATGCTTAGCAAGGTGCGTTCTTGTACACTTGGTATCAAGAAATAGCGCGTGCTACCTCGACTGTTAAGATAAGCAAAATCATGAATTAGTACAACGCGATATGATGCACCTACAAACCGAAATAAACTGTGTAACAGTGATGCTCTTGACTCGTATTTTAGAGAAACTCAGTTCGAATCTTGAACAGGAAACTGACTAACCTGACTGAGAGGCCGTGCCATAGCTCAGGCGGTTAGTCACCGACTTCTCGGCCCGGATTTAAGCCCGGGCCGGGTCATGTGGGATTTGTAGCGGAGGAAGTGGCCCTGGGGCAAGTTTTCCCCAAGTACTTCGGTTCCCCTACCAATTTTTATTCCACCGATTGCTCCAGAATCATCATCGTTTTCCATCTGGGCCTAGTACACTACGATAAACAGTGGCCGCAGTACCAAATGAACTCAGTCCCAGTCCATGAGGAAAAAGGAAAACGTGACTTTAATTTTTCGTGGATTTTCTCAGTTTCTCCAGAAGAATGCGGCCGTAATACCTCGGTGTAGTTATGACTGCTTCATTACAATTCATTGTCCTACAATTTCATGCTCAAGAGTCTAGCTACCCACAGCATATTAGTAATACAGACCGCGGTAACCGGCTTCTCAACTAAGAGGCTCGGGTTCTGTCTCAGGTCAAATCATGTGGGATTTGTGGTGGACAAAGTAGCGACGGGGCAGATTTCCTCCGAGCACTTCGGTTTCGTCTGCCAATCTTCATTCCATCAACTTCTCCATACTCATCTATCATCCGGAGCTGGTACATTATGTTAATTAGTTGCCGTGTTATCAAGTTGATTCAGTCTCAACCTTCACAAAGGAACTAAAAACGAACTAGAAGAGTTCAGAATTATCTGTCATTTTTACTACGTGTACTCATCGCGTTGAAAGAAACGGTTACATGCCCAACTAGTATTCAGGAACGTACTGGGATCTCGGCCTCAGCCCGACTGTCCAAACACTGTTTTCGTGGTTTTGCTCAGTCCTTCCGGACGGTGCTATCATGAAACGAACCACAGTCGCTCCGTCTGAGTCCTTTGAAGTCCGCTGTACATATTCTTTCCCTCGTTTTGGTTGATATTAAATAACTCCACAGATTGCACAGCTTCTTTAACGTGCCTAGAAACCTGTCAGAATGATGAAAGTTAAGCTCCCGAATGACTTATGCCGATCGAGCCAAGTCGACCCATAATAGCAGTTCCATACATCTCCGCTACGAGGCGCTTCCTTCCGTTCATTTCTCCACTAACAGCAGCGACATTGTAATGTAGCGCACAATACGGCAATATCCTATACCAACTCTGCGCCGCTGAACCAACAAACAAAACACGCTTCCATGACGATGGAAACATCAGGGTTAAAGAATATTGGCATGATACCCTTTGCCACATTAATTGAAAGGAAAACACAATTTTAAGAATAAAATAATCATTCTCTTATTCCTGGTTTGGTATAATTTATGTCGTTGTACTATTCCAAACATAAGAAATAAAATTAATTCTCTAATCGTTTTTTCATTAATCAGTTACATCGGACGTTGCGAAGTATAGGCTTGCTCGTCTAAGTGAACGAGACCTTGAATATCCGTGACAGGCCAGATGGTTTCATGGTAGAATATTTAACTTTTATATATTCAGCTCTTTTATGAAAAGATGGGGTAGATATTTGCTCCAGCTGTATGAAATACCATCACGTTACCATTTTGAGCATAGCACAATTCACCCTACTCACATGACCGAGTGAGAGAATTTACTTGAATAGAAATGAGAATTCGCTGAATATGAGGCTCTCACAACGCTGATCATGAAGAGTAAAACTATTCGAGTTTAAAACGTTATGTAGTTCGTTAGAAGATGTGTATCGTTTGAGAGGAACGTTTTGCCACTATCTTCACAATATAAGAGTGAGCCAAGCAATAAATCAGCAATGAGCAGGCCGAAATCAGAGCATATTTTATACAAAAATCTAGAAAACGGCTCTGCTTAGTGCAGGATGGTGCAGTGCTAAGTGCATGACACTCGACATCAGTAAAACATAAGGCGGACATTTCCCCCACCCCCAAGAAAACATACTATGGGAATTATTTGTTTTTTTCGCTTTGTCCATCGACCGATAGTCTAAAGAACACTAAAGAACACAACGTTTCGGAAAGTGGATCTGTTTCCGAAACGCTGTGTCCTATAGTGTTCTTTAGTGTTCTTTAGAATGCCGTACGATGACCAAAGCCCAAGAATCATTTCATACTGATTGTCAAACACCATCATCAAAACTCTCCAGAATCTGCTGACTTAGTGAGCTGCATGAGAAATTTCGTCAATCGCCAATAACTAGGATCGAATCTGTTAAAAAGGAGAGTATTTTTGGATTATAAACGTCACTTTAACAGTCATGCCACTTATATATTTTCTTGCCATATTAAATTGTTGCTGAGGTGGGCAGGTCATGTAGCACGAATGGGGGAGACAAGGAATGAGTATAGGATATTGGTGGGAAAGCCAGAAGGAAAGAGACCACAGGGAAGACCAAGGCGTAGGTGGCTGGACAATATTATAATGGATCTTAGAGAGATAGGATGTGATTGAATGGATTGGATAGATCTGGCTCAGGATAGGGACCAGTGGAGAGCTCTTGTGAACACGGTAATGAACTTTCGGGTTCCATAAAATGCTGGAAAATTCTTGAGAAGCTGCAGAATTGGCGGGTCCTCCAGAAGGGCTCAACTCCATGAGTAAGTAAGTAAGTATTAAATTGTTGCTTCTAGTTCGCAGAGCAACTATATTATATTCGCATTATATTTTTGACCAGTTAAATCTAAGTTGTAATACGCTTCTGTTATTTGGTATTCTATTATGCCTATTGATGCGGACAAATTGAAACGCATCCAGCAGAGATGGACAGTCCTTTGCTTTAATCGGTTTTTCCTCGTGTCAATTACAAATGTGCGTATGATTTAAAGCAATGAAAATTGTGAACGCCTTACGTAAGGTGAGGTAACTTCTTGATGCCCTCTTCCTTGTTCAAATTTTATCCTGGTTCTCAACCATATTTTTCTCTTTTGAAAACTTCTGACCTACGAGTTCGTGGTCAAAATTTCGGAGACTTTTCTTTGTTCTGCTCTTCAAGTAAAAATTGTCCTTCTGCCGGTGCGCTTCAGCTGTTAATATTGTTTTTTTTTAATTCGCTTAGTGGGTGGTGGAGTGTGAGTCCACTCGGCACGGCGGCCACTGATTGGCTCATTGTAGCCTGCCCCGGGTGATTACGATGATGGAGAACTTGGTGGAATGAAGATTGGCAAGGGAAACCGAAATACTCGGAGAAAACCCGCCCCAGCGCCACTTTGTCCACCACAAATCCCACTTGACCAGACCCGGGATCTAACCCAGGCCGCCGCGGTGGGGAGTCAGCGACTAACCGCTTGAGCTACGGCGCGGCCACACTGTTAATGTTGTTTGTAAGGATCCTTATGTTTTTTAAACCAAAACTGTTTCTCTTAATCATATTTTAAGATGGTAATTTTTAATTAATAAAATATTAATTGTATTCAAGATATAAATGTGTGAATTATTGCCTAACTGATTAAAGTTACCTTACTTTGTCTTTTGTTTGTGTGTATATATATGTTTTGTTTCCTTCTCTTCCTTCCTTTTGGTTTATAATCGGTCACTGGGCTGCTGAACAAGCTTGTAACTACCAGTCAATACGAATATTGAATTGGAGAGAATTATTATTATTATTATTATTATTATTATT